CTCTACACTCTAATAACAAGAACTGTAACGATAAGAACGATAAGTATTTTGGAAGTTACTAGAATGAGCTACAGAGTTATTAAGACGCCATTTTAATACACTCATACAGCACTCAGCAGTATGTAGCGACAGATAGCGCTAAATAACTCTAGATAACGCTAAATAGTGTCAGATAGCGCCGATTAGTGATAATAACGCTAACTAATGACAGAGGCCGAAAAGTCGAAAATACATGACGTATCTTGTTTTATAGTGAGTGGGGACTTTCATTTTCAATTCGTCCTCTGCTCAAGAGAGCGGAAAAACATAAAATAACGCTATAAACCGTCGGACATCTTTTCGATATCAATAGATCGCGCTAGATAGCGTCCGATAGCGCTAAGTGCGCAACATCTAGTGACAGTGTTATTTTATATATAGCGCTATCGCTGAATTTCGTTCAATATCACTGACCTTGAGAATCTCATTATGAAACAATAAAAGTAACACGAAATATAAGTGCAGGTATTGGATCAATTTGAGTAAACTGGAGCAACAATCAACGTACAGCTAAACTCTATAGAAAAATCAGGAGTATCATCAACATCTATTAAAACCTAAAAAGTCCTTTGAAAAACTTTACCAGGAGACAATCTTTCCAAACCTAGCGAGTGTGTTTGGAAACATTTCCGTAGATGCATTGAAAACAGCTGAACTTGATTCGTTATTAATCGTATGTCACGCTAAATCATATAAGTCTGGTAAATGTGGACGAATAACGACATTGTGGACAATGCGACATAAAAAGATTAACAAATTGTTATAATCATAGTATGTTGCAGGAGGTGACCGGGACATGATTTCAGGCCTGACCGGGACCGGGACCGGGATACAAAATGTGACTTGACCGGGACCGGGACCGGGACCGGGACTGAGATCCGCTGAAATTATCAATTTACCGGGACCGGGATGAAAAATGTGAATTGACCGGGACCGGGACCGGGATAGCTCAAAATTGCCAATCCCGGTACCGGGAATTCCGGTCGATTACTGGTTAATTCATGATCATAATTTATTACTCAAACTTGTTTAGCAATTTTAAACATTGTTGTATTTGGCTTAGAGGATGTTTAAAGATGAAATTCACAATGAATGAAAGGAAAAACTTAAAATCACAGTGAATGAAATTATGTAAAAGATCCCGGTCAAAATCCCGGCAAATTTGAGTGATTGACTGGGACCGGGACCGGGACCAAGAATCCCGAATTAACCGGGACCGGGACCGGGACCGGGACCGGGACCGGGATCATAAATAAATAAATCAGCATTTGACCGGGACCGGGACCGGGATAGCTCAAAATTGCCAATCCCGGTCACCTCCTGGTATGTTGATATACGTTTGTTCGAGTGGTAAAAATGGTATGACTATAACTCATCTCCCTTACTCTAACACTCAGTGGCGCAACGTTGCCTGTTACGCTACTGCTAATACTAAGCTGAGAGCTCGGTCTCTGCCTTACCATAGTCTCATGTGTGCTGCGTGATTCGTGGGTCACGTGATCAGCATTGGCCAAGTCCCGGTGACGGTAATCTCTTTCTGCAGAAGAGTTATAACCGTATGAGCTGATGACTTGTCACTTGGGAGAGACCGAGCAACCTACCAATGAATAAGTCAACAGCTTGTGAAACTGCGAGGGGACCTTTAATGTAGATTTAAGAAATGCAGTAAAAGATTTCAAGGCTTGAAGCTGAGATTTTGTGCAGGCATTGTTTTCCGATGGGTAATCGACGATTAACTTAAAATAGCTCATCGAGAATGGGCGGAGGGGGGAAAAGATTTCAAGGCTTGAAGCTGAGATTTTGTGCAGGCATTGTTTTCCGATGGGTAATCGACGATTTACTCAAAATAGCTCATCCATCATCGAGACTGCGAGGGGACCTTAAATGTAGGTTTAAGAAATGCAGTAAAAGATTTCAAGGCTTGAAGCTGTATTAAACTAAACGATTTGAATCTATGGGAGGAACATAATAGAGGTGAACAAAATGCTGTTATAAAGGTCAATTCTTGTAGCTGAGATTTTGTACAAGCATTGTTTCCCGAATCCCGATGGCCGATGGGCAATCGACGATTAACACAAAATAGATCATCGCTGAATGGTTTTTGGAGATCGACGATCCTTGCATGTTATAAGAAATGTTGTTATAAATGTTTTGAAATTGAGATACCTGCCTGCCTACATCTCTGCCTGCCTGAAATAAAAAATTAAGCACAATTAAAAGTTGGCATGCTCCGATAACTGATATTGAACCCAGGTACCAATCCTGTGCCGATCACCAAAATCACATGACACTATATTTGCCTATATTACATTCCTAGGCCACATGCATACTGTCCTGATATGCTTATCTATTGTTTAATTTTGTTATCGCGTCACTCCCATTTGTAAACGGATATCGTTATAATTATCATTTATCAGATAGGAGATAAGTCACTAGTTTAACTCATGAGTGTGAAAGTAGAAGAAATCAGAAATGGTAAATTAATCGAATCACAATAAATTTAATAGTGATATGAGGGTATCCCTTCTATATATCCCTTAATACATAAATAAATGTTATAAATAGGGGGTGCACGATAAAAATAAACTTGCTCGGATTTTAAAAATTTTTGTACTACTGTTTTCTAGAAGTAGAGACTGTGAGAATTTTCACAATACCAAATTTGTTATACCTTTTTGGAAAGATCAGTGAGTTTCGCCTAGGTGCCATATTTGATGGTGCGCGGCTTTTGGAGCAAAAGTAGCTGTAAAAATGTGTAAAAGTCCCGTAATTTGACCAAATTTGTTGATTTTTGTCGTATTATTCGGATATATCTTAGGTTCCTTGAATAAGATCATTCTGAAAATTAGCGACGACCTTCCAATAGGGCTTTCACAACTGTCCGAAAAATTTGGTGGATATCGGAGTTGATATAGTGTTCAAAATGGGGCAAAATACGCTGCTTTTATCTGTAACATAATGTCTGATGGTTGGATATGCTTTAAACTTTTCGGACACTTTCCTTGTAAGTCTATGAGTAAGCTTACCGATTTTTGTTGCAATTGGAGGTCGGGAAGGATACTCAATATTTATTTGTTCGAAGAAAATTGTGCTGGCCGAAATTAGCGCTAAAAAACCATCCTCAATCCTACAGTCGGCACGCGCGGCTCACTGTCGATGGCGCACTACCTATTATAAATAAACAATATCTGAACAATGCGCATCATAGCGGAAGACTGAACATTGTTGTTGGGCCCTCTGAGGCCTATAAATGATATATAGAACTGAAAAGGTTTCAGGCCATCACTCGTTGCAGCAGCAGTCAGCACCCCCAGACACGATCGACATTTCAAAGTTTGGGCAGAAACTCCATGGATTGTTTTACTGGTGGCGGTGGCTTTTATGTTTTACAAATTCGCTCGCCCAAAAATGTCACGTGACTTTGGTTTTATGGTTTTGCAGCCGTACAAAACGGTTTTACATAAACCCTAATCCCAACCCTAACCCTAACCATAACCCCGAAGCTATCCATAACCCATTAACCCTTACCACAACCCTAACCCTATACAAGTCCAAAACAATCGAATTCATGTTTTACTAGCCTGTCACGTGACCAAAACAGTTTTTTGCCCATAACTCTCCAGGGAAGCATTTTTACCCTACGTCATGGTTGTCATACGTTGTATGACCCGCCGCGCACGAAGTGCGCGGCTCCCCCTGTATCGTCGAAGCGACAGTGGGGGTCACCACGTGATACAAATACAGTTTACTGGGCGGCGCTCAGCCTGTCGTTCCGCCGAATCTCTATTCGGTTTATGAGCATAATCATGATAGGTTATAAACCTACAAACAATTAAGTGCTTTTGCCTTGACCATTGTTAATGGTCTGACCCGGCGCGCGCTACTTCGTAGCACTTGCCATCGGGCCATTTCGAGAAGAAAGCGGCGCGCGCTACTTCGAAGAAATTTAGACGAGTAACATCCGTCAAGCTTTTGCCACGATACAGTTAGTGAAACGACAATTCACAATTAACGGGTGATACTCTTAAAATATTTACTGGGCCGCGCTCAGCCTGTCATTCCGCCAAATCTTTAATGAACATAATAGCCTGGGGTCCTCAGGTAAGTAAAATATCTGTTCCATATAATATACAGGACCGTCGACGAGTCCAACTCGGCGCGCGTCCTGGTAGGTTGTAAACCTACAAATTCACAATGGGGATCACGACGTGATTGGTGATACAAAGCAATCCTTAGAAGACGATTTACACAAGTATTTTGAAAGCTCCTGCTAATAAACTCCTTTCGTATCACTTATATGTTTTAAATATCCCGCTCCAAATCCTTAAAGTTAGAAACTTAAATTAGATCTAAAAATATTCTCTTAAGACAGTTTACTCGTTCATAAACTTATATTTACATATATATAAAACATCAGTGCATTATAATGTTAGGAATTTTCCTTTTAAGTGCCCGTTATATTTTAAAATTAGCTCGGTACTGCTGTTATATGTTGTTATGGACTTCAGGTTTTTGATGATGACGAGCTTTTATAATTTTAGGTCAGGCACAAGTTGCATGTATATATTGTACATATATAGTTGCAGAAATGTTACAGAAGGTCGGGTTACACTATATTCTATATATAATATATACGTGCAACTGTATATGTACAATATATTCACTGCAAGGTTTGTTGCTCGCGTATTAATTTCAACGCCGCGCGTGGCTGGAACGCCTTAAACATCAATTCACTGTGCTTTCGGCACTGGATAACTTATTCTATTTTTGGATTCCGCCAGCTAGAGACAGGAGAACAAAGCTGAGTGTGTTGGTCAATTATTGTAGTGCTTTATGCTGGAGTGTGAGTGAAGTCTTGTGAGTGTTAGTTTTGCAATAAATAAATACTGTCTTTGTAAGTTTGTTTCAGTTGCTAATACAATTATACTGATTTATATTTTATTTACGATCAATTGACCAGTTCTTTCCTGTCTAGGTATATGCTCACGCGATTTTAGAAGCTCCGTCTTTTTATTTTTTAGTCCTACGAAGAAACAAGTTAAACATGGCACCAAAGCCTATCTGGGGGGCTATCAGTTCTTACTTCTACCCTGAAGTCGATGAACCTCAGACGGCTCTGAGCCCAGTCCCGGCCGCAAACGATAATATCGATGAGGATGGGTGGATGCTTGTTGGACCAAAGAGAGCACCTTCACCTGATGCCGATGAGGTAAAATATAGTAACCATCGCATTAAAAGTTTGTTAAATGTATCCTTGATCGATGAAATGAGACTTATTTCTCCGCATTTATCAGACTATTAACAAATGAATCCCATACTACTATCGAAACTCAATATTTCATCCTCAGGTTGGCTCAGTGATAATGGTCAATCACGGCTGCGAATCTGATGACGAGGAACCCTGCTCGAAGAGAATTTGTGAAGAGCAGGTAATTACAATCTTCACGAATTACTCAAATCATATTAAATTCGATAGATATAACAGATAAAATAGTATAGTAACAGACGTATTTTCAACAATTTGAAGTGAATCTCATTACCAATACCCTATCAATCACACTTTATTAATCGCAGCAATTGGAGAACGTTTCTGAGAAGGAACACGTGGTTAAACACGTCAAACAGCTCAACCTTGTTGAGCAGATGCTGTTCCAGCACACTGCTGCTGCCTCCGCACAAAGGGCCACCAACCCCAAGAACTCCTGGAAGGCAAGAAACTCTACCTTCAACAAAACCAAGCAGAACCGCATGAGAAGCGCCAACCGTAACCCTGGCCGACGATCTTGTTAGTTTCAATTTAGTGTCTAATTGTCCTTTTATCTCCGGACGTTAGTTTTACTCGGACTGTGGCGGCCAAGCTCGGGCTTCGTTTAATATCGGGCTCAAAATAACAAAAAAATTATTAAAATGATCAGAAAATGTGTGAAAATAGTACTTTTTATCTCGGAGTTACTCTAGTTACGATATATCTTGAGCATTCGCACATCGGATTCAGACGTTGTAACAATTTATTTCACCCTTTTTGTTTCGTTTGGCTGGCTTGCATGATTGTTTTGGGCTAAGAAGACAGAGAAAATCCCGGCCAAACAATCTTTAGGTTTAATTTTCCCTTGCCTAGACTCTGAATTGAATTGTCTATATAAATTGTTGGTTATATATTATGAACTTGCTTATGTATAATGCTGTATTTGCTGTAAGATATTTCGAGTATGAATTAGATTTTTTCATGTTATGTATTTTGGTGTACAAACTATTAATTATTACAATATTATAAAATATTTTTACCCTGTTGATTGTCAAAGACTGTACATATTGTTTTATTTTGGAGGCAAGGGATTCATTTATCAAGATTTGAGCAGATTGTTCTTGAATTCTGTTTGGAACCATTAAAACTTTCCCTTTTCGTATATATTTTCAAATTATTATCTACCATTCATGTTTATTAATATGAATATGAATATGAATACTTGAATAGATTGTAAAATTGAAGTAGAAAAGTTTAAACTCGGCAACTTAAATTCAACTTTGCAGTTTTTCTGGCTTCATACCGGACATCAGCAGATCAACATGCACCAAATTTAGATATCTACCATCAGTGTGACCAATAGAAATCCAACCCTGGTATATCAATAGTCCATGCAGTTTAAGGTGATGACAATTTGATAAGTCACGTGACTGCTGAACACGTGACTTATAAGACGTCAAAATGACGTTTGGGCCCAGTTTAACATTATATTCTGAATGTATTAAATATCTGGTGCGTTACTTCAAAGGTCTTGCTCAACTATTGAAATATAACGCCGAACATCACTTTTCTACTAGAACTTGAAAGAAGAAAATAGTCAATTGGTTTCTGGACAACTTCACTACACGATTTGCTCTCACTTGACATTATGAATTTCAGACACTCATTTCACCACATGAAATTTAAAGTTTTCATTAAACCCTACATAAGGCTAATAGTCGATCCCAAGGATTTACAAGCCTAACATCTGTACTGTCTGTCTTATTAACTAATACATTGATATAGACGTGATGACACAATATCTGTACAGACTAGCAAACTCACTCCGACCAAACAGTATTTAAATTAGTTCAGTGTTAGGTCAGTCCGGCGAACTTGCTTGGCTGGGAACTTGGTCAAAGGGAACTGATTTCTAGACATCGAAATCATATCTGACGGTTTTTTGGATGTTATTAGGGGATTAGTCTTTGGAATAATGTTGTGATAACAGTTGTCATACTGTAACACATTTTAAGATGTCTCGGACAGTAAAACAATCTTGAATACCAGTTAATTAAGTTTCAGAGAAAAGTTAGCAATTCTCTGAAATTGAGTCCTAAACGTCTTCAATGATTGTTATGTTCATGTTCCTAATGGGACTTAAAACAGATTTCTGCTTACATCTAAGTAAGTGTGACGAAGTGAGGTCGCATCAGATTTGTTGGATTTTGCTATTTCATAATGCCTGTATTGAATCTGTAACTAATTGTAACAACAATCACACATTGGGTGTTGGCTACCGTTTGTGAAATTGTGAAATCCAACAATAAACCATTGTTGATTCAACAATGGTCCATAATCAAATTTGTCTTGGTAAAC